ACGTAGAAGAGGATGCTGCACCGGGGTTGACATCCTCCAACGATGTGAGGCAGGAGAGGAGAGGATGAACCCGGACTCTGAGGCGGATATTGCGGTTTTACCTCTGCACATGCTCCATGTCGTCATCGGGAAACCACCATCAGTGCGCACGGCTCCAGAGGACGGATGAGACGCGGTAAGACATGGCGGGGCTCTCCCTTTCTGCATCACCGTGTAACCTTCCTGGGTACGGCTGCTAGCCTGCAGGGAAACACGGATCTGATCATGCATTTTCCTCCAATCAGTGCTCTCCATCTGTGCTCCTCGCAATGATCGTGCACATTGATGATGTGTATTCTGCATGTATGTTAGCATCGATAGCACACAGCAGATTGTTGCTAATGAGGGGCTTTCTAAGCATGTCGATGTGTTTTGTGAATGCACGAGACTGGGTTTGTCCTGCAGTCATTTCCCTGCTGATGTTGGGCAGATGTGTTCTCGTGCTCCAACACTGACATCATCCTCAGCAGGAGTGTGTGTGGACTGTGGAGCAGGAGTGTGTGTGTGGAGCAGGATTCTCTCCGCACGGTTTGCTAGCTCAGCGCGTCAATGCGACGTTTGTCCGGACTTGAAGCATGGCTCCTCCCGGACTCAAGTTCATCTGTTCCAGGGACAGGACAGGCCCTGAGCTCTGCGGGGTTTCAGTGAGACACACGGTGCTTCTGATGTTTAACACCGGAAGGAGAGCCTGGCCAGGTGTTGCAGATGTGCACAGAGGCCATGATGAGTGCAGATAGATCAAATAGAGATGACAGGATAAATATTTTGGTACTTGTGGGTTATCTGTCGTCACTTTTTTTGTTTTTTTCAGACTCTCTAAATACGCACTTTTGTTAGGGTTATGGTTAAGGTTGGGATTGGAAAATAAAATGTAAAAGTCGCGACAGATAACTCACAAGTACCAGTATTTCTACTCTTAGAACACTTCGAAGTACTTTGTACAGAACATGTATACAGGCATTGATGAGTTATCCCATTAATTGACTAATTATTTGTATTCCAATGCTGACCAATGATCATCAGGTAACAGCCCAATTGTTCATTGTATAGTGAAATAAAAGCACCTATCCCATGCTGAACCATGTGTGTGTATAAGTATTACTACAAAGTAATATAGCTTGGTACTTTTATCGATATGAGATGAGATTACAAGCAATTATTTGAGCATTATCTCTGTATTTTTCATTACATACAGTGAGAGCAGTAGGGCCTGCAGGGGATAATTAGTGAAAGGAAAGGGAGGAAACTGCAGCAGACTCACAACTAAAACCAACGCCTGGCCCTGAACACATCACTCATTGAGACACTTCTGTTTCCCTAAGCTCATGTTTTATAAATATATTTTGAGCAACGCTTATAATGCATTGGTGGAACAGGAAGTTAAATCTGTCGGGAAGAAAACAGCTATTGTAGTTTTTGGGTGTTTCGAACACTGCATATCGTGCATGTTGGCTAATGAGCAGGTTCCTCGCATTATTATTATTTTTTTAATTAGTTTTTGGGTTTGCTCTTTTTGTTCTGAACATGGCATACGGTGAGCAGGCTACTTGCTAGTTGGGAAGCTTTAACAGAAACATTAAAGAAGCAAAATGAATTGTTCACTTCCTGTGCTCAACCCGCTTCGTGGGGCCTGTAGGCACAAGGAGCTAAATGCTAATATCAGCCTGCTAACATGCTCACAGTTTTAATGTATGGTATTGATATTTAGCAGATGCAGTACATGCTAATATTTGCCAATTTGCATTTGACGCAAAGTGCAGTTAAAGCTGATGTTAATGTCACTAGTTGTGCAGGTGTATGCATACAACAAAATGAATTCTAACGAGAGTCAGAGGATCACTACGGATACGTTATTACAGTTTATCCTGAGGGGAACAATAATCCATCCGATGGTTGTAGACATTTCAATCTAAACTAATGGAGCATCGACCAGCCAGCAACTAATGTCCTGTGGCTAGGTGACAGAATATTAAAATGCTCCCAAAGTAGCAGCCGCCCATAATTCACTGATGTGAAAATAGATCAATCCAAATACATGTACGCTATTATCTTTGTGATCACATTTTTTGGGACGTTTACAGGAAACAACATTGAGTAGCCGGGGTATTTATATCTCTGCAGACTTCATTTAAAGCCTTTGAGGTGTGAGATCGGTCTGCCGTCTGCACAGATGTGTCTTTGAGGTCTAAAACACCTGCCATCCTCCCTTATTCCTCCTCTGAGGGGATCAGAGCTGTCTTCACACTGCTGCATCGAAACCCAGTCTGCAGGGTTCGGTTTCTCCCTCTCATCAACAGTAATGGATAATGACAGCATGATGCAAATTCTCTATTTATGGCAGACTATATACATATCTCAGTATATCTTTTATCATCATATTGAATCTTTTAAAGTTGAAACGGCAGACATATTCCTGTTAATGCACATCTAGGCTTCTCAAAATCATGATAAGGATGTGGTTCTGCAGCTTTAACGGGATATTTCTGCGGTTGTTGTGGAGTGGAGAAATGATTGCAGCAATTAGTTGATGACAATTCGGCAGCCACATCGAAGCGGCAGATTCCAGAGTAAAGCCATTAGCAAATGTACAGTGTGTCAGAGTTTAACGTGCATGTGGAGATATCCTGATACGTGAAAATAGTGGGTACATTTTGGGACAATAAAGCCACATTAACAGCTCTGTATCCTTACAAGTCATATGATAATTCTGTGGCACAGGATTCATGTCCGATGCTACCAATCAGTGCTAATGGAGGAAATATGTAGCCCCCTTTTTTACATGTGGAAACCCAGAGTGCATTCTTGCCACAACCCATTGCTTCTTATACAAACCATAACCACAATCTGCCCCTTACTTTAAGCGAGTGTTTCAGTAGCCTGACCGTTCCTGTACCGTAACAATGAATGCAGATATTGTTTAAAACATGTGAACCGTTCAGTATCAGCGTTCTGCCTGGCATTAAGATGACGTTAACCATAGTCTGTTATAAAAGTAGAGAAAAAAGGTGGTGGACAGCATTCATGAAAATAAGTGCTTCCAACTTTCATTCGATATTAAGCAGTTCAACACATTCTCCACTTTAAACACACAGCGCGATAAAGATCTTCTAATTATAAGATGTCATTAGGATGCTCGAGCTTCCTTCACATAATATGCTGTTTGCTCCTTCTTCACCTCCTCCCCTGCTATAGCTTTACGCATCTTCATAGTCTGATAACATTTGCAGTCAATTACAAGCGGGAAGCAACCAAGCCCTCAGGAAGTGCGTTGTACTTAAAGAAAATGTCCAAACAGTGATACTAAGACTGGCGTGTCTCCATCTGTTGCATCATTAGGCCCAAACATACTTTTTCCCATTGACTCACATTGTAAAAGAGACTGTAAATCAACTACCCAGTACAACATTAGAATAGTGCTTAAATCATAAGGTCCTAAAAATTGTAAAATGTGCTAGAAGCCACATCTAGAGTTATTTCCCCTCTCCATTTATTTCACTGAGCCTAGGCTAGCCGTGATGCTGCGAATTGGCGGCGGGATTTAAGGACAACGAAGTCCAAAATCGACTTTTTCTCTCGAGCGTCAGTCCACTGAGCAGCTCTCATAGGAGGGATTTTAGCCCCGCCTAAAACGCTGTATCCAGATGTCTTTATAGATCCACGTACGCAACGCTGAGGGTGGCGTTTCCGCCTAGTCGTGTTCTTCCAATAGAAACAGCATCGTCAGCGCAGAGCTGCTAATGTTGGCCCTGTGGAGGCAGCTTAAGACGGAAGAATTAGATACAGAAGTCAAAGTTACAATCTGTAATTTAAATGGTTGTAGTGAATGCAATACTCATCTGTAGATAGAGGATTTATAGAGTTTATAGTGCAGGTCATATCATGATTTCACGTCTCTACCATCTTTGTTAAAGGCGATCCATGCAGGAAGGGAAGCTGACACTCAACAGCAAGAAGTGTCTGTTATTTCAGCTGAACTTAGCCGCTTTCACACCAAGTACTTTGCCGTACTTAGTTCCCAGCACTTAGTTCCCCCATGGAACTAAGTATAGCTCACGTTCACACCGGAATAAGTCCCTGGGGGAGGATTAGGCAAATGAAGCCGCTGACGTCACTTGTTCTTCTTCTGCTTTGGGTTTACTGGCAGGCCGCAAACAACTTCACGGCGTATACTGCCACCCGGAGTCCCCGAACGGAAGTCCCCGGAGTTGGGGACTGGCTTCAGTAGAAGCTGCTGGGACTCCCAGCAGCTTCTACTGAAGCCTTCCGAGTAAATCACCAGAACGCCGACACTTCCTCATCTCCACCGCTCCCATGTTTTGTTTTGTGTTGCCATAAGTTAGTCTCTCTCCGTTGGTGCGCGGGGCTAATGCTAATAATGCTAATGCCAGCAAATACAATGGCGGCTTCACAAAACTTTTCCGAGTTTTACGGGCGTAGTTTGCAAATCGCCCAGCCAATCAGAAATTGGAACTTTTTTCTCCCCAGGAAACCACCTCTCTAGCAGGGACTGAAAAGTTCTCATGAACTAAGTTCTCTTTTTGGTGTGAACGCAAAATCCCAGGAACTACTGGAAGTAAAAGGGAAAAGTACTCCGGTGTGAAAGCACCACTTATGTTTAAGGTATACATTATGTGTGATATTGCATTGGAGCAGTCAAAGAGGGCTAGGGTTATGCTGTTGTAGCATAACGCGTGTTTAGACTAGTAGTTTACTTTGGCAGATGTATCCCCAATGTGGCAACTACATGAGAAGCATTGAAGAGAGTTATATGGCAATACTGCAAATGGCTGCAGGAAATGGAGCAGGAAACATTATAGAGCTGAAGAGTCAGCTGGCCAGTGGAAAGGCTTCAAGAGGCCGAGCCACGTGAGGCAGAGACTACTCCAGTGAATTAAGAACAATTATGAGCCAGAAGCAAATGAATCACGCATGCAAACACACACACACACACACACACACACACACACACACACACACACACACACACACACACACACACACACACACACACACACACACACACACACAGAATTAATGTTGATAGTCTTGAAACCATAGAAGTCAAAGTCAACTTTATTGTCAATCTTTCCAGTTTGTGTGTACAGACAGAGAGATCGAAATACCGTTTCACACATT